TAAGCAGCAAAATTATGGAATAAGCTGCATGTGTGTTGCACAGTCTTCTTTACACTTTCAAACCTGTAATTCAGCTCTTCAGGATCACTTTTCAGTCCTCCAAGATATTTTCTCCCCTTAAAAAAAAAAAAAAAGAAAATCAAGTTAACATGGGATTAGTAAAAGATGGAGACAAGATAAAAGATTAGGAATACGCCAAAGAAGTTTGAAAATTGACCAGCACAACTTGTATATAACTTAAAAGGCATGACAAGAAAAACAAAACAAACTAACAAACCCAAAACCCAAAACAAACAAACAAACAAAAAACCCCCAAAAAGTCTGGAATTATTTTCGGTCTTCTGGAGGAAACAATGTATGTCTGTCTTGGCAGATTGCAGCATATTAGACCCTAAAAGTGCAGCAACTTTATACAGAGAAAAGTTATTTTAGAGGGTTTTAAAAATGTATTAGACCTAGTTCTTCTTTCACTACATTGCCTGTACTTGCGTGATAAATAAAGCAAGCCTACTTCACAGGCAAGAAAGATCAGAAAAAATAATTCTTAAAACAATTTTTACACTTTTAATGTTTCCATAAAGTAGCTTTTCTCCGAAATGCACAGCACAAGTAACCACATTACATGAAAGCATGGTATAAAAGATGCGGATATCTCATGAGTTTCCGAAGATTACTGTGTTAACTCTCAAGAAACTTGGAACATTCTCCCAAGGTACCATGTAATCATATTGAAATTGCATTATACTGGACTTTCTTATCCCATACTGCATACTGCTGTTGCATTTAAAGTTCCTCAGGGCAAGAACTGTGTCTGTATCTATTTTGTAAGGTGTTATGCAAACATATGGTGTTGTAATAACTGATAAATAATCATGAGTACACAGTAACCTCAAACTTGGGCTGGGAGATCTTTTATACCTACACTCTTGCTTACTCTAATGTGTTATCCACATATACCTGTGAGCATACGCAGGTGAGCATACATGCACGTGGAAGCACACTGTACTGGTGTGTACTGTACTGGTGAGAGTGGTAATGATGCTGAGGTAAAATCTGTCTTCAGACCTTTTTCTGGCAATTTTGTACCCCATTAACTGAAAACATTAAACCATTACATTTACAGACTGTGCACTATCATGCTTCTGTAATTGAGGGAGTAAAATTCTTTTGAATCAAAATTTCAAAAAACAAGTGAATGGTACATTCTAAGCAATTACCTGTTTTTTAAACTGACTGAATTTTTTGCATCAGTGGGGGGAAACGAAGTCAGTTCATTTGAAAATAAATAAATTATAGGTTTTATGACTCACATAAAGGAAATGTGTCCTTGGTGATGCTTGTATTTAGCATAAACTACCAAGCAAGCTACATGTATACTCTTTAAACAATTTTTTTTAAAAAAATTTTAAACAATAATCAAAAGAATTAAAAATATCTTTCACAAGCTCTTCCCCAGCCATGACTGTTGCAAGGATAGCAGAACCTGTTGTGTTCTGCTCACCTGAAAACTTTATCATGGGGTCGTAAAACTGAGAAGTCATGATTTAAATGAAAAGAGGCAAATGCTAGTAAAACCGAGATACTATTTTCCTAATTTTCCACTGTTTCTGATGAACACATTTTCCCATAGATTAACAATCAAATGACTACATAGTTCTCTGATTAATTCTGCTAGAAAAGAAAAAGGAGAAGATACATTTCCTCCACAGCACAGATAACTTATTTACTGTAACTGTAGGATAGACCATCCATGACAGTAGTCCTTACAAAGCTTACCACTCGTGCCTACAGTGGAAGGAGCCAGTAAATCCACATTCAAATGCAGAACTCCTTTGCTCTCATTTCTTCTTTAGCCTGATTCTTATGTTTTCTTCTCAGTGGAGCAGCAAACACACTATTAAAGCTCAAAAAGGGACTTCTTTGATCCTGGGAGAGATGAAAACATTGTCCTACAAAAAACATTATTAAATGATCTCTGTAAAGTTGTGCTTGATTGAAATCTCTGGGGAACAGCCACTTGGGTCTGGGCTGAACTTCAGTTGCAGGCAGCTGTTCACCGAGGTCCTCTTTCCCTGTTGCAGAGTGTGGTTTTGTTTTGCTAAACTGGCATGCATACCCTCAGTCTCTCCCAGGAGGCTTGCTGTATTAGTAAGGTGTGTAGCTGGTCCTTCCCCTGCCTTTACCTCGCACACTCTTCCTCATACTGGGGGGCCTTGTCACTTCCATCATCCTCAGAGGCTACTTCTAGAAACTGCACTTAAAATTGGATATTCCCCTACAGCTCTGTTTTGGGGAACGGGTAGCGGATCTTCTGTTGTTGCTTAATGATTAAAGAACAGATAGAGAAATCTTAACAAACTCTAATTCACAGTTGTTCAAGCAGCCTAAAAGCAATTGCATCTTTTGGACAATCATTTGTAAGGTGATTCTCTTTATCTGCATCAGCAACAGGGAGTGGAAATCTGTTCAGTCACTCTAACAAATATCCATAATTGGTTACATTGGCCTTTAGATGGCATATGTGACCTGGGAGATAGGAACTGGTATCTGACTCATCACTGGGAAAGTTTGTAGAACTAAATGAAATAATCAGTTTTGTTATTTTGTATTGTTTTGTGTAAGGCATGCTCTGATTAGGTCTTTTTGCATAACTCCCATTGGAACTAATGGAAGCCATATGCACAGGAGAGAAAAAAGGACTCATAAAGATATTTTCCTCATCTTAACACTGTCTTATTTGCTTCTCTAGGCACCTTAACAATGAACATGCATTGGATGACAGGAGCACTGCTCAGTGTCGGGTGCAAATGCAAGTGGTTCAGCAGTTAGAAATACAGGTTTGTTACATGGATGTATTATCGTACTATCAGCCTATTTACTATCAGCCTAAACTAAATTGAATACACTTGCCTTAGTGACTCTAGGTTAAAGCCATATGCTTCTTGCATGAAACTTGTTAATACTCATGAACAAGTGGGATTTTTTATTTAAAGATCTTTCACATTATAAATTATGCAATAATTGTCTAACATCAAGATTGTCTACAGTATTTTGCTTTAACTGAAACACCAATGCCGTTCATCGTGAATGAAAAATGCAGTCCTTGGAGCAAAGACTGGATCCAAGCCATCTTCAGTTCTTGAAACACTGGATCTGGACCCCTCTTCCTTCTTCCCCTTCTGATCTCTGGTGTTTGTCTATGCCATTCTGAAGGATTAAAGAGTAGCAGTACTCCCAGCATGTCAGTGGACATTTTTATGCAAGCAGAAGGTGTAATGTCAGACCTACTCAGGGAGGGTCCCACACCCAGGACTATGAGTCTCCAGTGCCCTGTACATGCTCTAACCATTAGAGGTCACTGCATGTATGTGAACGCTCCCTTCTGCTTATGCAAGAAATGATGAATACCCCTGGGGTCTCACAGTATTGAGATTACACTTATCAGGCCACCAAGGTTGGGCACAGGCCTCAGAAGTGACTCTGCAGGACACTTACACCACGCCGCCCCCTCCTGCCCATACAGCAGTCATAGCGGGGGCATCTCTCAGCAGTCCTGTCCCCTCTTGGGACCAGCCAGAGGAGCTCAAGAGACATAGCAAGGGACTGAGATTTTTGTCTCTGTTACTCACCATGTCTGGAGAAAGAAGGATAAACACATTTCACCTTTCTCACCTTTTAGCATATTGTCTCACTGTTCTCTTTCATGTAAGAATACTTGTTCTTCTTTCAGCCAAGGTAAACTGTTTGAATATTTTTTATTTTAACACTGGAAACACAAAACAGCAAGAGGATTGTACAATAATGTACAGAAATTGTCATTTGCCTTAAAATGAAAGATTTTTAAACTCAGGTAAAGCTGCTATTTCTTTTATAATATTCATAGGATAGTGTTAGCTTAATTTGTTTGTTAGGAATTTACGTCACGGCAAATACCATGTCTCTAAAGTGTCACACACAGTATGAAGCCACACAATATGAAGAAACCCTCTTCGCACCCCTTGCCTCAAATGTTCTTTAATTGGAGATGCACTGACCAAATTATATCCATAATACTGAAAATACATCCAGTAATAAAGATAGTTTCCTCTCTTAAAATTACTTACAAGTTGTTTTCCTTAGTCCAGTCTCAGTCTACAGGTGTAACTGTTGAGCAAGAACTCTCCAGAAAGTGGTAATATGAAATACCAAGTGATTCTTATTGCAATTAATGATGTAATCATCTTGTAGGTATCCAGAGCCAAGTCACTAGAATAAAATTTTAAGCATTTCTTCTTGCAACCTAGTTTGTGGGAAAAAAATTCTTTTCATGTTATAAGGTACATTTTCCTCTTTCATGTTCTGCTATTTTTATCCACAAGTTACATATTTCAAACACTTCCTCCTCTTTCTCTTTTTTTTTTTTTGCTTTTAATTTGGTAACTTGTTTGAGTCTGAAACTACCAATATTTACATACCATATGGTCAGAAAATGGTATAAGTTAGGAAAAAGTAGAGGTTTGAGTAATGAGATGTTTTCTAAAGGCAGTGTAAGGGGTGCTTAAGAACTGTTTACCATTTACAAAGGCTAGGCTGTAATCTAACAGTCCAAGTGAAGATTTAGCTTGCAGTGTGACCAATTATGCCATTTTTTGCTTTGTCTGACTGCTAGTGAAGTAGGGTCCATCAGTTGTAATGAGACCCAGTTCAGTGTCGATGCCGAGTTGATGGCAGAGTTCAGCATTTCACACTGCCTAGGCTCTGTCACTCTATTGAATTAGATTGATGATGGCAGATTGCAGGGGGCACTAACTGGACCTCAGTGGGAAAGGATGAAGTGTGTAGTCAATCCTGGCAGGCACTGTGCTTTGAGGACCCTTCACCCCTTCACAGCTGTTGGCACTAGGCCATTGCTAACAGTGTCCACAGGACTTTAAAGAGACTCTATGGGCCTTCTAATTTATGGTCTTAGTAACTTGTTACTGTTGAGGCAACTGTGACCTCAATTCTCTTATTGACAAAAA